TTAAAAGACATCCGTTAAAAAAAGAAAATGTTAAAATGATAAACAAGATCAATAAACAGGTAAAAAAGATAGGTATTATAAAGGTCCATTCCTTGTCATCGCGTTAAAAAAACTTCCAAAAAATTCAACTCTTTCCTAACCCTATACAACACCATCACACAAAAATTAAAAGAAATCCTTACTTTAAGGGCAGATTTCAGAATTGTTATGGTACCAGGCGGTTGTATGTGTGGCTCACCATCTACTTGTACTGGCCATTCTTCATGTGTTGTGATTCGTATCTGCAAAGAAGAACATATTTGGAGAAGAGATTTAAATATCGAGAAGAAACTTCAAATCTGGGATTTGATGGTACTGTTCTAAAAGAGTTGAAGGCATTTTTGATTATTTGAAAAGGATAGCACATAAAGCGTCCTATAATTATAGTAAAACAGTTTGTGCACCATTCAAAAAGTTTCAAAAAATTTGTGCTGTTTTCGGCAAATCATGCACTTCGAACTACTAATTCGATCAGTGAATGAAAATAATTTAATATCGCAACGATTCCTTAAAAGTGCAATATATAATCATAATTAACGCATAATAACGCAACTGTTTGCATTGAATGGACAATAATCTCCAATAATCTAAACTCGAACAGCAGAACAAACAGTTCGTCTAAACAGCAAACTGACTCAACAGTGTTGCGATTGTGTTATCAATGACTAGCTATAATTTCAAACCGAAATTTTCATCGTCAAGATCATTCCGATTTCAAGCACAGGAAAACTCTTACTTCTTCATATCTGTCTTTATGCAAATCCTATCAAAACGAACATTTCTTCAAAAACATTAACTTACACTTCCTCCTTGAGCAATTCTTATACCGGCCGATAGTTTGGACTGAATGAGGCCTAGTCGAGAGACATCTGGTATGCCAACCACCTATAACTTGTGAAAATTGTATAAATCCGCAAAGTAAAGGAACAGCGATTTCCATTTTGAGGAGAAAATGAAAATTACAAATAAATTTTTTTTTTCAATAATAAAATTCCGAATATTAAAAGTATGAATAGTTAAATCACTAATTATCCTATTATTGACAAAATTAGTAACAAATACAAAAAGAAAATAAAATGACAATTAAAATTTGTGAAGAATACAAAATTAATGAGAAAATTTACTTCAAGCAGTCCATCGTAATGTGTTGGCTTTTGAAACTGCCTCTCTTCCTTTGCTGTCCCCCAAGGATTTGCTCCACTCCCCCAGCTGAAAATTATTTAATCCAAATAAAGAAAATTACTCATATATTTTAGAATTAGAAATACGGATTTAATATTTCAGATGTTAGAGTCCAGTATTCAAAAAAATATGGATTTAATGTTTCAGAATGTTAAAATCCAAAGTTCATTTTTAAAAAATCAAAGCTGTTTTATTTCCAATAATTATAGTTCATTGATTACAACTGTAAATAATAAATAGAAGACAACAAATAGAAGTTTGCTGAATGATTTATTTATTTCTTCATATTCTTAACTTGAATGTAGAAAAATTAAAGCAAAGTTTCAGACCTGAGCAAGTTTAATACGATGATACCCTCTATGCATGGTAATTCGATTACTTTACCATCCACTTCTAATTCAACCCGTCTCCAAAGATCTTTACATGTCCTTTCAAAGAATGCTTTTTGTAAACCGATTTTTACATATTGTGTTTTATTGAACAAACGTGAACTGAATTTTTCTGGATTCGCATCCCTCTAAAATAATGCGCTATATAGAAATTTTTTATACAATCATCAAATCTTATCAAATTTTTTATAGCGCGGTGAACACCTGGACAATGCTGCCCTACAGAAAGAATATTTTTGAAATTTCAATTAAATTGAAAAAGTAATAAATCACTAATAGATAAGAATTGAGAAATTCATTAAAAAGAACTATCTTTGAATCTTTCCCAAACTCTGACATTTTTACTATATTTCTTTTTTGTTATCATCGGCCATGTAAATCTTTTCATGTATTTTTTAACTATTGATGAAAGTATAGCTTTCTGCAAAATAAATAGTTGTAATCTGATTAAGAAATGTAAACAGGTATAGTTTTAACCTTATTATGAAACTGCAAACAGACATCCGCATCGATTCCAATTCCAAAGTAATTATTCATTATAATCATTGAAGTTTGGTCCTCAGGATTGCTCATCATTTGTTCTGCATCCGGACTCGGTTCAACACTAGATGTTGTTGGCGGTTGTGAACGTTCTTCTTCATGAAAAACTACTGCCCACCTGCAACTTTAATTTACCAATTTCGAAATGATAACAAATTATGATCCATCTCTCTCTCTCTCTCTCTCTCTCTATCTCTCTCTCTCTCTCTCTCCCTGAATTCTTCTTAATCCAGGCTGTGTGTTAATACGGAAATGAGAAGGCTGATAATAAAATATTCCCAGTATAACGCAGTACCTTCATATCAACAATGATCAATTAATAAATTGTTTTTCAAATAATTCCAATAATTCGAAAATAATCACTACCTATCTAAGCGTACTTCCTCAGCCTCAATAACATCTCGAAGAATATTCATAGGGTTTTCTTCACCACTATAACCACCACCCCATCGTAAAACTCTTGCCAGATCGTTACCAGTGCCCAATGGAACAATACCACATGGTGGAGAAAAACATGCAGCATCCTGAAAAAAATACTTCTCAAAATAGTAATCTTCGAAACTGCAAGTTAAGACTTAAAAACTCGAATATTTAATTTTTCGCAATTAAATTTGTTCTAGTTGTATAATGAAATAACAACAGTAACCTGTTTAACAATATCTAAGCACTGTAAAACCCAGCCAATAGTGCCATCGCCACCGCAAGCCAAAATCTTATATCTTGGGATATTTCGAAAAACATATAACCTAAAATCAAAATAGTAGGATAGAATTAAATTCTGCTCCATGCCATTTTGGTTGTTAATAAATATAATGAATGAAACAGGATTGAAACAGAAGAGGTGCTTACCCAACTAATGGACCACCTTTCAATACATCGAATACTTGGAAAGGATTCAACAATCGTCTGAATGCTTTAATCAGTTCATTACCCTGACAACCACCGCTTTTAACATTCACAAGTACCAGAAGGGGTTCGCAATCCGGTGATAACATATGGGGCTAAAAGAACCTTAAAGAAGCAATGAAATTTATCAAGTTCCTTACTCTTCCCAAAACTATATGATCAGTTTAATGAATTAGAGCATTTGCTCTTCAAAGTAATATAATAATAAAGTTGGATTGATTTTTTTTAATATGTGTGTTACAAATAGATATCATTGTTGAAAATAAACCAAAAAACGGTATTAATCTGCTTTGAATTTTGGTAAGGATATAGATCCATATCATAGGATCACAAATTCATTTTCGGCTAACCTGTACATTGGGAAGACAAAGTACTATTAATTTCTTTTCTTCGCAAATCGCATTCTGGAGGCGTTGCACGGCTGATGTTGCAGCTTTTGCTGTGTTGAACGTAATCACCAGTGAGCCATATTCAAAATATATTGGTCCAATAACAGTAAAAGGTTTTTCTGAAAATCAAAGCACAATTACAAGAAAAGAAATCAAAGTATAATTAAGAAAGATAAAGCACAGAGAATTTTGATTAGAAGTAGGTAAATCATCTCATCTCACTTATAACGCCACGAAATACAAAAAAAAAAAATAAACATAACGTGTAGTAGTGAAAGCGTTTCCTGACTAAAAGCAAATGATAACCTTTAGCACCTAATAACCGTAAAAGAATTCTTTCATATTGTCTTTGAGATAATGAAAGCGGTAAATTCCCAACAAAAACAGCGTGGTCGTGTGGATCATCCTTTTCTTGTACATAAAAACGAACAACGTTATAACGTCGTAAGGAATCCTAAACTTTGGAAAAGTAAAAGAGGAAATGCAATAAATAAAAAACAGAAGTGTTTTTATGACTAACAAGTAAAAAACAGAACTGTTTTATGATTAACAAGTATCATTCTGCTTGAAAAGTTAATTTTTTGCAGAAAACCTAATTGTAATTACAACTGCTTACAATTAGGTTTTCTATGTGGGAGATTCTTTCCATTTTTGCTAGAAAATTACGCGAATACTACAAAAAAAAATCATTCTAAACTATACCTTTCTTAAATTTCTCACAAGCTGCAACATATTTTCTTGTGGATTCGCAGTCCTTTCAGCAACACCACGATCAAGTGAAACTTCAATTAAATTATAACGATGAGCTAAATTTCGATCTAATCCAAATCGATCCAGTGCTTCTGCCACCGCATCTTGAACCAGCGTTTCTTTTGTAATTGACAGCGAACAGAACGTTAGCGATACTCTAAAAAAAAGGATTAATTACTTTATCTAATTTTTTTGTTCAGAGCTTTTAGAAATGAAGATTTTTTCAAAATATGACGAAATATGTTAATTTTAATTAAGTCTGATAAGATTTAAGTCACGTGCTTCTTCGGTTTGATTCCGTTTTCCAGGATTTTATATAAAGGATCCGTAAAAGCATTTCGCTAATGAAGACAACTCAAATCATGGGCAAAGGAACAACTGACACGAACATGACTTTTTATAAATGATTTAATTAATGTGCAAACGTAGCAAAATGTAGCAACAACCACTTCAACTGATGAATAAATTAAAATTTACCTAAGCCAACCACCATATAGTTTAACAACTGCTTTTTCAGGATCATCTTTGTAACGAAGGAAAATTTGTGCACGACGTCCTTCCGGTCGCCGTACATTTCTCAACGGTAACGGATCTTCAAGCAATTCTTCCTCGCCATCTGCAAAAAGCTTTAAAGTTCTTAACATTGAAATTTTACAAAAAATTTCACATTCTAGTTAAGAAGTGAAAATCATTTTCGAACCTAATTGTTGAATGATAATCAATCGAATTCGGAACATCACAAGAAACATTTCGGGAAATTATCTTGAACAGCTGCAAAAATTATCAAAAATACTCACCGTTATTGAGCACTTGCGTGATGTAATAACAATCAGGATTGTCATTAATATGAAACCTTCTGAGTGCCACGTCCTAATATAAATTATGTAAGTTTACTGTACGTGAAAACTTTGAAAATTGAATATTGCACTTATTTCAATGCAAAATTTAAAAAAAAGCACCGCTCCACGGTCATAATGGAACATTTTTTATTTGATGCATCGCAAATAATGAAACTAATTAGTAAACAACACTGACAACACTCTAACGAATGTCAGTAATGAATAAAAATTCCATTCAGCATACTATCTCATATGTATTTTTCAATACTTATAATCATTTAGACTAATCTCTAAAAACGTCTCATTTTAAAAGTTCTATCCAAACTGTTCGAATGATCTCTGACAAACCAACTACTCTTTTTAGGTGTTTATTACTCAGAAGTGATAATAAGTTACTAATACAGAAATTTAAAAGCAAAATACTTTAACTTACCCGTATTTGTTGCACTGAAGCTGTTTTTGGTACGATAACAGTACGATACTCATGTTTCCGAACAGAACTATTGCCATCAAAAATACGTAAATTTTCGTAGTCTTCTTTTTCTTTTGTTTCATCAGGTGAATTCAATATGGAACCTTCCGGATGTATTTTCACTGGTGATGATGCTGAAATCCAAAAAGTAGCAAGAAGACAGTAATTACTTTATTTTAAAATGATTAAAATTTTGCTTTAGAAAATGCTTTACAAATATATTTTTGCAAAGATCATCAAAAAGAAAACATTAATTACTTACTAATAATTGAATGGTTCCTTACTTACAAAGTTTCTGATATTACTAGAATAAACTCTGTAAGAATAATTTTTTTAAAAATCACAGTGAAGATACAAAATAAGAATTTTGCAAGTCTGTCAAAAAAAAAGGATATACGTTGCTGGTTGAAACCTTCCAGATGAGTTCCTTGAATATTAAGCAACTGTTGCATTGAAAGTTCTGTCCTCGGAATCGTTAACGCATTGGGTGGCAACGTAATCTTCCTCAGAATACCAAAATCGCATTCAAGAGACATTTGACGATAACAGATAGCATGAGCCTGGAAAGCAATAATATATAATTTCCAATTCTTCAATCTTTCAAATTTCTTACATCATTTAAGGCTTTCTCCGCAAACCAAGTCCTACTTTCACTCGTAATATTCTACTTATTGAATAACTTTAGTGTCACTGTAGAAAAAAATTTTTAGCGTTCTGCATAGTACACTGGAGGGTCAATATCATTTTTACTGAAAAAGTTTTTTAGCTTTTTGCATTTCGAAATTACTCTCTTAATTCTCGTACCTTCGATAAGCCTCAATCGAAAGACAGTGAAAATTTTAAAAATCCTTGAAAATTTAATAAAATACAAATCTAAATAATTATGGACTGATAAAATGCTAGAAATCAGGACGTATTCTGTCCCAAAATTCTTCAAATACTCAATTGCGATTTTCTGAACAGTGCAAAATCACAAATTACTACCTGGGATATTTAAAAATCCAGGAAAAGCTTACCGTAGCAGAGCACCAGCCACATTTCATACCAGCCAAGCATTCGTAAGACCAACAAGATTTTCTGCAAACAACACACTTTGAATCCCGTGGTATATTGCCTTCCCTCATATGATGATGCTGCACCTGCTTCTTCTGAAAGAACACAATTAGTGTAAAACTGTTTGGCTTGCTTATTCTTTGAAATAAATTAATTCAGTGGGAAATTTCCCATCATTTGTTTTTCTTTTTCCAGTGAATATGAAAAAAAAAGTGAAGTCTGTCAATCCTTTCTGACTATTATTTCTATTTTTCAACGTTTTAGCACAATACAAACAATTGAAATCTATGAAATTCTTGAAAATTAAAATTTTTAATGTTTACTTTGTGTTTGATATTCATATAGTATTAAGAAAGCAAAGCATGACTGAATGTAAACAAACTAAAAGCAACGTTAATTGAACCCACAACAAAAAGCATTATTACGTGCATCATACATCATTAAATAAATAATGGCAATGAGCAGATTATAAATTTGAAGCAAACAAGAACTGAATCATTTAAGTAAATTAGATAGAAACAAGGTTTTTGCGATACTTTAAGGATAGATGTTTGAAGTCTTGAATTTAAATTTCCTTACGCAGTCGACTTAATGTTGATCATAATAACACCCATGAGCTCCTAGCAACTATAACTATTAATCATAAAACGTAGTGACTTTATTTAAAATCATTTCTCTTTTAAAATTACTCATCATTATTACAAATGAAACTTTCGTTTCAATAATTTTTTTTTTTTCTTGGAAACTATTTAAAAATTGCATATATAAGATGAAAATAGAGTTCGTCGAGATGTTTAAGTTGAAAAATTTTTAAATTTATGACATTTCGGGTTTTTGTTTTGCAATATATTTGGCCATTCCAAGAAACAAGAGAATGTTTTATTTTTCAAAAAGTTTGATTTATTGGATGATTTACAAGAAAACTCTATCATTTTCTCGATTTCAGTCCCTTTGCTGCCTTTCTTTTGATTCTTGAGTTCGCAAAGGGCTTTATTTTTGTTTTTAAAAAGAAATATTATTCATAGAAGCTAAGAAACCAGAGCGAAGAATGAGAGTTTAAAAAAGAAAACAAACTGAGAGTATACGTTTTAGTAAATAAGTTGCTTTCGAGTTCGAAAAGATTTATTTGGTTTTCAACTTAGCATGACGTAAGCAAACGTCATTCAGTACTAACAGCTCAAGAATAACTTCCTATTCATTATTCCATCAGTTATTGCCATATCATTCCGTAAAAAATGTGATCGTTTTCACATTTCGAGGCAAAAAAAAGCTTTCAGAACTTTGAACTCAA